TAGGTAGCGGTATAACTATCTCGTTTGTGCCAGGTATGGAATAGCGCTAAACGGCGGGAAGTATAAAAGTGCGAAATGTCTGCCACTATGATCGTTAAACCGCCTGTCAAGTGTGGCGATGGAGGCAAATTCTCCCTAGAACGAGAGTCCCGGTCCAGATGAACTTGTAGAGGCTAATGAAAATGAAGATAAAGAGAAGATACCTAATATCTAATATTATACCTAAAATCTTCATCGCCGCTCTCGGAAAATCAGTGTCAAACTACTCTGTCAATACCAAGACATAATAATCATAGAATTTCTTTTAATTTAATGTTACCTACATATAAATAGATAAAATGGCTGGTTGCTATTATCCACTTGGAATCCTATAAATAATAAAATTAAATCCTAACCCAAGCATACAACTGCACGACTTCAAGATACTATAAGTAGATACTGCGTAGATCGAACAAAAAAATAATCATTTTATTGTATCTGGACGTTGAACATCTCAGTCCCCCCGTGACCATGGGTGCTGTATAGTGCTCGAAACGTCGGGTATATAAAAAGTTAATATACGCCATAAAAACTAGTATTATTTAAATGTGTAGTGTTCGCGTAAATATAAGAAATCTTTATTTAATATAGGTTACAAGTAATTCTTATTGAAAGTCATTTTTTTAATTTTACCACTCTTTCGGGAAAATCTCGGTCCAGGGAAGAACTAGCAAGACATCCAGCGGGACAATTTTTTTCTAAAGTAAAATTTCGCAATAAAATACATGTTTTTTCACAGTTTTTGTTTAATAAAATCATATAGAGATAGGGACCTTGTTTATATTTCTAGGACTTGTAATATCGCATACATTGTTCCAGAAATGAATTATAGACTCTGTGGAGTCGAGAAACTGGTATCACTAGCTTATGTTTGTTCCTGGTGTTTACAGAGTGCACATCATTTTTTTTTTCAATTAAAACTACGTTTTTGTTTTGTAAATATACTGTGAGGCCAAAGTTAATGCATTTTATTTTGTAGATTTCTGTCGGAGAGAATATCTTGAATTTATATTGTAAATAGGTCTTATGACCAGTGACGAAGCTTCCATTAAAGCCGAAAAGCCGGGCTTGCCTTATTAAACCTGAATCAATCAATAATATCAACTAATAAAATAACTCGTAAAATGTTTCAAGCTATTTCAAATTTCCCGCGCACTCCACTGTTCGACACATGTCGACCGATGACCTCGTATTGCCTTAGCGATACTGCTGCTGTCATAAAAAATGAGTTTTAATAGAGCTAATAGTTGTCTCCCTCGCTCGCGTGGGATTTTTACGGGGCTTTCGAGAAGACGATCCCTCTCCTTATAACCTATGGCAAAATATTCTATAATGAAACATAACTACGATTGTATATATAGCAATTAGTATAGAGATTTAAAGCCAGGCTTTTGGGAATAAATTTGTTAAAAGCGGAGGCGCGCGGGCAATGCGTTTGCAAGTTCATTTCACGTTTCAATGTTTATTTACTCTGTGTGCTTATCTTAAGCGATTTAATATTACGAGTTCAAAATTTATGCTTTTTTAAAGATTTTAATGAAAATGGAGGATAATAGTGTGCCTTGTGATGAATTGAAGTGTGTTAAAGTGATAATCAGAGAGGAAATCTTTAAACTCTGTTGAGATAATACACAAGGTTAAGAGTGTATTTCAGACTTATCAATTATCGCAATTAAAACAGTTATTGGTACAATTAAAACGTTCACCAACATTTTACGTGGACGTAATTAAATCTTTCCATAAGAAAGCGAGACGATTCCACTTATCTTATTTTATCTCTTATCCATTAGAATGTAAATATTTTTTTTAATTTTGTACATAGTTTGTTTGTACTTTGTTCGTGTTTTACTTTTGTTCATGTATTGTATTGGATGTAAATTTTTTTTCTTTCGCTTAAACAAACCCAAACGGCTTTCTTCAAAGCCACCAAAGCTATGCAATTGCTGATATGTAATACAATCTATCTAGCAGTGGTATGCCTTCTGTGTGCTTCGTTAAACACGTCCTTGACAGCACTGAATATGAAACTGAAGCGTGGAGACACATCAAGATTGGTGTAATTTTTATAAAACTGCTAAAAATAACAATCTATATTTTTATCAATTTATATCTTGAGCTTGCCCTAGCTTGGAGCTCTAGCTTCGCTACTGCTTATGACCCTCTTCTGCAAAACAAAAATAGCTTCTCAATCAGCCGCATTTCTCCATAGCAAAATCCCATAAGACACGCTGTGGAAATAACTGAAATAAACTAATCTAGCTGTCTCGAAACTAGTGAAACCTCCAATTTTTACAGCATAAGCTGCAGAGCTTAGTCTGCTCGCTAGTTTAGATATATAGGGGCCCACTGAAGCTCTGCGTCGATAGTGATGCCAAGAAAAATAGTGAAATCGACAGGGCTCATTTTTGTTCGTTAAAAATGAATTGGTATTGGTGTTGTAAATTTTATATATTTAGTTTTATTGCCGCTTAAATGTAGATTATTACCGTGAAATCAAGGCGCTAATATTGATATAGCATTATGCACTTCGTCTCTTTTTACATAGTATAAAACAAAGTCGCTTCCCGCCGTCTGTATGCTTAGATCTTTTAAACTACGCAACGACATAATGATTCAAGACAAAGGTATAACAAATACATATATTGTCGAGATCCAAGAATCACCCGTGCGAAGCCGGGGTGGATAGTTACTCAATCATTTAAATGATTGTCGTTTAAGTTTAAAAACATAAAGTGTCATCAGAAAATAATACTATATCATGATTATCCCCTACAAGGGAAGGTAAGTCATTAATATACACTAAAAATAGTAATGGACCGAGAATTGAGCCCTGAAGGACACCCATTAACACAGTTAACCCAGAAGAACCTTTTCCATTTATAAAAACTTTCTGCTTTCTATTACTTAAGTATAAAGTTATATGTAACTTTACACGCTTTTCTTAAAATAATAGGTATGCTATTATTGTAAGCAAACTGCTATAATGTGTTACTAAATAAACTTTTTTCTTTCTTTCAAATTGATATAATTCTTTAGTTTCAATTTAAGAGTAATGCAGCACACCGCGCGGCGATCACGCGCGTTTGCGGCTCCGTGTCCGCTACTAATACGGCTCGTTTGCGCTCGCGCCGTCACGAACCGACCCATTACCCAATATAATTAATTTCACTTAATGCTCATCGATTATTGAATATAATAATCGTATAGTTTGGCGGCGTTTCGGCGGCTCGTGATCGATCGGCGGCGGGACCCCCCGCGCGGCGCAAGCCCGCGAACACGATCTATCTGATCCCCGGTTGCACGGTAACATAATGTACATTTAGCGATTGTATTCTTGTTGTAACGGATATAGGTTAGTATAAATGTGTAACACGTTTTCTATTTTCGAACCGATAATAACCTTCTATGTATGCTACTCGGATGTGGGGCGATCCTTTAGGAAATTTTGGGAAATGAGGAAGACCGTCAAATATTACCTACCATATTTCACATCCTCGATGTTTTGTTGTTTTGACAGTAACTGGCACGCTAGTCCTATAAGCAAGCTTTAAGCGTACGGCTAATCAAATTGGTAAAGAACTTTTTAAGCGAGACGGTCCCTCCGGAAAAAGCCTCCTTGAAAGCTGCTCATCCATTCCCTTGGCGTCTTGTGTCAGAGCTCCTCAGGAGTCCGTTCTCTCCACAACTCTCTTCTTGTTGCATATCAATGACATGCTTATGACTGTGGCGTCTATAGGCAGGCGGACAACAGCTCATTTCGGAGGTATACTAGCAGACTGCTTGAGCTGGTCGGGATGAAATCTAATCCGAAAGAAAAGCTTTGATTAAAAGTGTGAATCTCTCAGTACATACAGTTTTCGAGTGCGGCGATGCCCATCTTGAAACATTTAACACCTTCAAAATACAATCGTGTCTCTTCACCGCAAAAAGGAGCCAGCTTATTTTAGCTTGGCCTATTTCTGATACGTATCACCAGAACACGCAGATTCTGCTAAAAATTGCTTTCAGTTGTTGAGAGAACTTTGTGTGGTTTATTGAGTCTAGGGCCAAAACAGCTGCGAAGTAGCTAGGTGTAATTGTAAAGGTGTAGCAGTACTTCACGCCAGGACAGCTGATTACTCTATATAAAGCGCCAGTCCAGTTGTGCATGGCACTGCAGAATGTCAACTAGCAACTTTAGTTGTTCCTGTTGCTGCTATTATAACACAAACAATATGTCATTTCTTAGCTCTTGAGTTACGAAAAATGAAGCATACCAGTGTTTAGTGGAACTATCTTTGAGTTTCTGACATAATTCTATTGATATTTTCTAAATATACAAGGATACTAATGCTGTGTCGTTTTATCTACAGAAATTAGAGTTAACTATTCCCTGTAACGGTATACTTTTGATTTCTTTTCTTTACTGGAAGAGTCACACGCCCAAAAGTGGACTTTTATGGACTGATAAAGAATAAGTATCGTTGAGATATATTGCATAGATAAATTACATATAGGCAAACATCCAGAAAAAATATTTTTAGGTAATACAAATACTTGTGTTCGAGAAGAGAACCCGCGGCGTGCAGTGCTACAACTAAACGCACAACTACTGCGCTACTGATTGAATATTATGAGCCTTAAGGATTACAACATACAAAATGAATAATAGAACAAGATATAGCATGGATGCGGACGGAAAACGAGAATCGACAGGTAATGGTAGCGTCCAACACGACGCGGCCAGCGGCAGACCGGCGCTGTAATAGCCAGCCTTGTAGCCCATCCATAACGAATTTCTTATTCATCGATATTAATATGGCTACATGACAACCGTTGGGCGTACTACAAATGAGCGGGACCGCTCACAACGGATTTTATTTATGTGAACATCTCCTGATCCGCAATTAGTACCGCCGGCACGACACGATACACTTCACAATGCTCGCGTCCAGCGATAAACGCTAGAGATATCACAAATGCTAAGCTGTGGTATGGATCTTATCGGCATTGAAATCTAGGTATATTCTTATAGGCAAAGGAACAAGTAATGACAGTATCGAAGCTGCTTTAGCGTCTTTGTGTTCACTTACTTCATGCAGTTCAGATCTTGGACATACCATGTGTATAATCTATGGATAAGACCCGGTTAAGACTATCCTATTTCCCATTTACCATTTACCATATACACCATGGATAAAACAAAAAAAATACTTGCATTTCTTATTATATAGCGGAAATTACGTAAAATACTTAATGTGCATTCTACAGAGCGTGCTGTTTGAGGCAATCTGAGACAATTAAAACAGAACAAAAATTGTTGGCTTCAGATGTAAGGTGAATTTTCTTCGGACACTGATATTTTCGACCCTACCTCCTCTAATATGGTCAAATTGGCGTTGTCGAAATATAATAAATATTCTTAAGAAGGTCCCATAAATACTCTTCTATTCTAATTCCTCCATTCTACTTTAGTTATTAATTTAAGAGGGCAGTGGAGCATGGCATGAGCTGTCCAAGTGCGAGTCGGCTGACTTTGTATCTCCCCGATATATGTTTTATTTTTCACGCGTGATCGTATTCCTTTAATGCTGAGCGCATGACATGTTAATGCTGAACATTTAAAATGACATTTATTAAATTTATCGGTGTCGACACCGGGAACCTCACTGAGAGCGCTCGTGTACTACGAAATTTAAAACGGGCCCTCATTATTTTATTACGCAATCGCAGTCAAAGAATTTGTTACACAAGTTTTTACTTTAGCTAGAATTCAAACAAATTTTATTTTCATATTATAAGCTTAGATTACATAAAAACATATCACGGGCTTTGATTATATAATATATAATCAAAGATCACGGGTATACCAAACGGATGAGATAACGAAATACTGAAACAATGAAACCGGAAATTTTGAAACGGTTGTATGATTACAACTGTTAAATATATATGTAGAGACTCTCGAGTTTTGGCAAGCGTAAAAATAACTAATGCGAGTCTATTTCTTAACCGTAAATTAATTATTCGCTCCTTTCATCATTAGAGTACATTTTTACATCTTATAGTGTCTGTTTTCTAGCTTCATCGTATAAATATTGAAAAGTCACTCCGCGTGCATTTAAAAATTATATCATGTCTTTATAATCATTACAATACATCGTTATGAGTAAAATACATTTGAAGTTGTTGACGAGCATGTTTACCTAGGACAAATTGCCCTACTGGGTAGAATATAATATAATAAAATAATTGTCATTAAATATAGATTACAGGTAATTCTTATAGTAAGTTACTTTTTTAACTTTACCACTGGTTCGGAAAAAACTCTGTCCTGGGAAGTACCAGGAAAAAACCCAGCGGGACTTTTAAAGTAGATTATACAATGTGAAACATTGTACAAACTATTCACAAAATTTATTTTAGAAACAGCTTGGAAGTGGTCACCTTATTCCCAGGGGTCATATACATCAATCATGTATTCATTTATATTATAATAATCCTTTTTATATAGTCTTTAAGTCCAACTTTGACCGAGAGGTCAATCGACGAGTCCGATTCGGTTGACAGCGTTCGGGAGTATACGACATAACTTATTGTCACTGATACCGCAAAACTTGAAAACAATAGTGTACAATCAGCGCGCGTTGACAATAATGATGATGGTTATGACGGATTCGTGGAATTCTTAACGGAAAAAGTATTTGTATGGCCTACAAATAATTGTTCCGGGTCTGTACATCTATCCTTGCACACTTCATGTATGTAAACTTTCTAAAAGATTTAGGTGAAAATACTAGTTTGGGGTAACGTTTTACTTAAAAAAAAAACAGAAAGATGACATATTATAGATCTGAAAAGTAGTTCACTGCTGTTTGTATGAGGAAGCTCAAGATCGGTCAACGAGCTATGAATAGAGCTTTACGTGGAGTTTATCTGTGTGACAGACTTCGGAATGAGGATATCCGCAGAAGAATCAAAGGAACCAATTTAGACAAATTGAAGAAAACCGGATATGAAGGTCCGACCTTCACATCACACACAGGTTTTCTTCAAAATTCAAATTTAAAATTCTTCATTAAAGAGCTTCCGAAAGACTTTAAGTTTCCTTTAGGTTTTTAATCCACTTTCATGAGCTACGCTGTGATTTCACACATGCCCGAGGTTTGCCGTTTTAAAGGTGATGGAGAGCCATTCTAATCATCCCCGATATCAATCTTAATCATCGGGATAGTTTTGGATGAAATATGTTGTTGTATCATTTCTCACACTTACAACGTAAAGAAATATTATCCCTTATTTATTTCTAATAAGTGCATTTTGCGCACTCTTTAAGAAACTGTTTCGAAATCGTTATGAATGAAATTAAGCCTATACTTCCATCATCTAGGTAGCACGTACGATATTTAAATTGAATTTAATTGACTACGCTTGTAAATTAATAACGAAATGGCTCTGACCCTTCGTTTGATCTCGTAATTCACACACGGGAAGACATATCGACCTCGTTAAGACGCGGGACACAGTTCCTTAATGGACATTTGACCATTTAAATTCCTTTTCGCGGGACGCGTTCATTCATAACGACAAGATTTGTTTCTGTTTCTGTTGATATTAGGATCTGATTCGATTATTTAAAATAAAATCCGAGAACTTTTATCTTAGCCATCACATAGTATAACATCTTATTTTATGGAAAAAAATGATTCGTCATGAAAAAAGTTATCTTATGTTTTGGAAACGGTTTACATAGAAAAGTCAGTTGCAAATCATCATAATCATCTGTCTACTTCTACAATTGGTATACAACTCTTAGATTTAGGAGATAATTGCCACGTTTAGTGATGTCAGCATCAGATACGGACTTGTTGTTTTTTAATTAGAATAGAGGTGTCAAACAGGCACACGGTCACCTGATGCTGTAGCCCATAGACATCTACATCTATCCTAGATTAAGAATTAAAAAATGCCTTATCACCCGTGAGTACTAAGATAGAACACCTCGTTCCGAGTAAAAAGGTCTTCGGTCTTCTATATTTACCATAGGAAATATAGTAGCGTTAAGCTGCTACTTTACGCTCTCACAGAATACCAGCGTGAAATAGTAGCTTAATGCTGCTGTATTTCGTATGGTGAGTGTAGAGAACCGGCGACCCATTTTACTGGAAACGAGGCATTCCATCTTAGTCCTCACGGGTGACAACACATCTGCATTTTGATTCGTAATCGAGGATAGATGTAGATGTCTATGGGCCACAGCAACCACTTACCATCAGGTGGACTGTGTGCTCGATTGTCACCCTATCCTATAAAAAAAATGTGTGAGTAGAGACCTACCTCGGCTTAGCTGACCCATTCGTGATACAACCACAATATAGCTGCAGCGTGGCTCCACGTATAAACACATATACTATATTCCATATTATATTATCAGAATTTTCCATAGGACTTACAATTTAGAAATAAAAACTTAAAAGTAAAGTAAAAATATTAATCCTATATTCGTTTTTAAGTACAACGCACATTTAATATTTAGTGTAATAGATTTAATTTGTAACGACTGCCTCGTTGGTCTAGTGGTTGTAGTAGTGCAACTGCTGATCAATGAGGTCTTGGGTTCAAATCCCGGGTCGGGCAAATAAATTAATTATTGAGTTTTTCCGTCAAGTCTCAGTAATTGCCCCGGAGTCAGGAAGTTGGCGGTGTCTCACCCCCTGTGCCTCGGAAAGCACGTAAAGCCGTTGATTCTGCGCCTGATCTCTCTCCGGTCGTGTCGGTTTACCGTCCCATCGGATTATTCGAGTGAGGAAATAGAGAGTGCACCTGTGCATGCGCATACACTTGGCCACTATAATCCTATCCTGCGCCGATGTCTAGCCTCCGTTGAGGCAGGCCGCCGTGGGCGAAATTCGGACTGGAGGACATTATTATTATTATGGGGTATCTATATAATTTTCTCACCTGGTTGGGTGCTATAAATATATAATTATAAATTAAAATGAAAAGATAAATATACATAAATATCAATAAAATAAAATAAATACAAAAACTACATAAATAAATAAGATCCAACCAGAACTGGGAGCCCTCGGCAGGGGAGACCAAACGGCCGAGGGTTAGGGGGGAAAGAGAAAGAAACCGGCAGACGATGCGGGCGGTATCGAGAAGCACCGCCTTCTGCATTTGAGCTCGGAGCGGTCCGTCACGGAGTCCCAGTCGCCTCAGATGACCCGAGAGGCTGACTGGAATTAGCCCATTCGCAGAGACGACTACAGGAATAATTTCGGTCGGTATACCACCCCACATGTAGGTCACCTCGTGAGCCAGGTCCAGATATTTTGTTCGTTTATCCGTTTCGGCTTTCACGAAGTTCTCGTCATACGGAATGGTAACGTCGATCAAAAATATCCTTGACTGTGCCCGGTCCATCAGCACAATATCAGGCTTATTCGCAAGAATAGTCCTGTCTGTGATGATGGCCCGGTCCCAGTAGAGCCTGGCGCGGTCATTTTCGAGCACGGCTTCCGGAAAGTACTTGTAATACGGCAATTTTCGGTCCACGAGACCGTATTTCAGAGCGAGCTCCTGGTGTAGAATTCTGGCTACTAGGTTGTGCCTGTGCAAGTACTCAGAGTTAGAAAGCGCCGAACAACCGGAGATGACATGCCTAAGTGACTCCCCGGGATGGCGACAAGCTCGACAGAGGTCGACAGTGCCATCCTTTAGGATGTATCTCCGATAGTTGTTGGTCTTAATAACCTGATCCTGTATTGCACAGACAAAATCCCTCAGTTTCCCCGAAGAGGTCACCGAAACGTAGCCAGTTGAGGGAGGCGACTTTATCTACGTGAGGCTCATGTAGAGCTCTGTAGTACCTCCCGTGGAGCTCCTACGGTCTCCCGGTCGAAAATGCTCTGTACTGCCGGGTTTTCCCATTGCTCGTTGGCTAAGGATAGAGGGGTAAGTCCTTTATCACTAGAAATGACGTCATTATAGAATGGATCATCCGATCTCGCCAGGAAGTAATGACGGATGCTGCACACTTCGCGATTATGCATGGTGAGCGCGCTCAGGAAGCCGCGCCCACCATGCTTTCGCGGCAAGTACAGCCTCATTACCGACGATCTCGGATGATGCATCCTATGGGACGTCATTGTAGTGCGGACTTTTCTATCCAGGGCGTTAAGTTCAGTCTGACTCCACCTGAGTATGCCAAAGGTATACATGAGGACAGGCATGACCCAACCGTTATATGCATGTGTCTTATTCACACCGGACAAAAGGCTGTTAAGCACCTTGGTCAAGCGTGCATAAAACACGTCGCAAACTGACTGTTTCATACCAGCCTCATCCATACCGATGTTCTGTGACATACCCAGGTATCGGTATGTTTCAGCCTCGGAAAGGGTTCTTAAGTTGACGGGCATAGATAAGTCTATGTCCTCAGAGTTAGCAACCCTTCCTCTTTCAACATGGAGGACCGCACACTTATCCGTCCCCAGCTCCATTCTAATAGAATTGAAGCTCCATTCTAATAGATTGATGCAATTCCATAAGATGGGAGCGACTGGAGGCGAATAATTTGAGGTCATCCATATAGAAAAGGTGGGTCACATTTGTACCTCCTTTCCGAAGCTGAAATCCCCTCCCGGAGCCCTCCAGTAAAGTACTGAGAGGGTTCAAAGAGAGGCAGAACCAGATTGGACTCAGACAGTCGCCCTGGAATATACCCCTTCTTATCCTTATGCGGCTTTCCGCAGCCGTCATCCGCTCGCCTAGAAGACAGAGGATCGTACTCCACTGCCCCATACACTGCTCGAGGAAGTCTCGAACTGTACAGTCAATCCTGTACAGCTCAAGGATCCTCTTTAGCCATGTATGGGGCACCGAGTCAAATGCCTTTCTGTAATCTATCCAGGCGGCGGAGAAGTTCCGACGGTTGCGTTTCACCACTTTGCCAATGACCGCGTCAATGAGGAGTGGTTCCTTGGTTCCACGACCGCCGCCCCGACATCCATTTTGAGCGCGCGACATCACCTGATTTAAGTCCAGGTGACGAGCGATTCTCGCGCTCAAAATGGATGTTAGTGTCTTGTATATGGTCGGTAGACACGTGATGGGGCGGTATTTGCTCGGGTCTGTGGCACCCTGATCTTTAGGAACCAAATGAGTGATCCCAGTAGTGAAGAGGCTTGGGAGCGACTTCTGGTTGAGAGCCTCTTGAAACTGTCGGGCGAGCACAGCGTGACACACCATGAACCCCTTCAGCCAGTAGTGATGCAGCCCGTCAAGCCCCGGACTTTTCCAGTTCGGGGCCCTACGGACCGCCTCAGCTACGTCATCCGGCGTTATGATGACGGGGTCCATGGGCGTAATACCCGCACACTGGCTCGCCACAACTTCCATCCAAGGGCCCTCGTTGTGGTTTACGGGCTCTGACCACAGGCTGCGCCAGAATGCGACCGTGTCGGCCTGATTTGGTACAGGGCCCGTTCCACTTACTATTGGTCGCTCCAATGATTTATAGAGCCTCTTCTGATCACTCTGGAAGAGACGATTCTGGTTCAACCGTGTCGACCTCTCGGTATATCGCCGAATCCGCTTTCCCCAAGCAGCTATTCTTTGCTTCAGGTCGTCTATGCGCTCCGTCAGTTTTTGCATTATATCCGGCTGGGACAAACTAACATTTGTCCCAGCAAACGCCATCCTGACGGTGCGCACAATCCTTGGCCTGGTATTGCCTGACCTGAAGCATATCAGTCTGCCGATGAGGGCCCTAGCCTTTGCGATACGTTCTTCAATTCTTATTCTCCAGGCTGGGATAGCACTACTTTGTCCAGTAGCGCGTCCAGCCGTGGAAAGTTTGGCGCCTATAATACGGCAGACTGCCAGTGCGGCGCCAAAAAGAATTGAGTCCGTCTCGCAAAGGTCCCGGCTGGCTTCCAAATAGGTAACCAGCATTGGGTTCAGAGCCCTCACGACAGCCCGATTCCGTTTGCTTAGGGCTGAGTGGGGAAGTCGCGGTCGATTTTCGAGAGGTGTACTGCGCGTTTCCACAATCGCCTCTTCCAATGTACTCCTCATTTGCTCTAGTTCCAGTTCCTGGGCGACTGTTCCATCATCGTTTGAATCAACCACAACTGGCGTATTCACGGCGGCATCCACATTTGCCGTTTGCTCAGCAAGTTGTGGCGCCGCATCCTCAGCCGCAGCATTTTCACCCGATGAAGGAACAGCCTCACGTCGTAGCCGTTCGAGTTCGGTGACATCAAATGTATTTGAGCGCAAGATATACCGAACTCGGTCTGCCAGGTTTTGCTCGGTGACGGTTACAGATGGCTCCAGCTCAGCAAAAAGTCGATGCATCCTTGCCCGATACGCAAAACCTCCAGTTTCTCCCCCCTTCGCCCTAAAATACGCCCGCAATGCGTTGCTGTTCATCTGGGTTGTCCAACGCATGCAGCGTACTCCACCAGTGGCGCGTGCCGATTGCTGAGCCCGCGAAGACCCTGCCGACACCAAGCCAGCTGGTGGGGATGATGGATGCGAGGAGCTGCTGGGTGGTCGTGCAGAACCTCGCGCTCGGCTGGCGGTTCGCATGCTGTCGCGTCCAGCGCCAGCTCCAGACGCGCCCTGGCGACCTCCAGGCAGCGGCCCTTTGCGCGTTCCATTTAATTCCATCATCCATTTTAGGGCGTCATTTAGCGGGAGACGCCCAGACCCGGCTCCGTTTCATGGTTAGGCCATGTGCACAAGCGGGCCTTGGCACCTTCAATTTTTGCCGAGGCACGGCACTAACACCTCTTGGCAAGGTGCTGACTGACTGCGCTGACGTAGCGGTTTTGTCACATAACCGTTACATCAGCGGGCGATGGGGTCGTCACTTCCCTACGCCTTTTTATTATTATTATTATTATTATTAATTTGTAACAAAACCAGGAGACCCATAGTACATGTAAATATAACCTAGACAACAACTAAAAATGCTATAGCCATGACATGCTATGAAATGTTACCTATACTTATATAACTAACCAGTGTATGTGGGAGAAGTAAATGATTAACCTAAGTAAACCTTCATACCTCTCACTATTGAACACACCATCTTTGAGAGGGTTTTCGAACAGGTATGACTCTAATTTTTTTAATAGGACCCTTTAAGGTACAGTATTTTTATCAGACATGCAGGATTCATCACGACCTTTCCCTTTTTTCGCTCCGCATATTGTAGATAAGAACTTAACATAATACACTTAGCAACTTAGCATTTGCAATTAACAATTTCTTTGCTATCGAATGAATCGAACTCCAGTTTACTCGCCTGCAATAAAAGTTACGGCGGGCGCTTAGCACTAAGGGCACTTGGGGCTAATCACTCAGTAATAAACTAGTAAGTACTTACTCATCATACTGCCCATGAGCGGGAGTATCCTCACATTAATATTCCTGCTTTCTAACTTTCTAATGAATTAATTTTAGCGCTTGGGGATGGATATTCCGCCGTTGGATAGTCCCCTGCATAAGTCAATCAGCAGACAGGAACAGACGCAAGGGTTAGGTTCTATTAGGAAAAGTTTGATATGTGATCCTTTTATACAGATTTACAGATTCATAAACAATATGATAAATTGTGAGAATAATAATTAGTAATATATTTATTAGGTGAGTAGGTATATAATTTATTTTTATGTAAAATTCATTATATGTACTCTGTCTTGGAGCTAATAAGACTATAGATAAGATAAGCTTAAAAGAAAATATCTAATTCAAAATGACTAAAACTAATAAATATGTCATATATTATATATTATATACATCCGGATAATGTTTGTTATAATAAATATAACGTTTCAAGACAAAAACAACCTTTTAGTCTTGAAGCGTCTGCTTTAAATCTAGATTTCCTACTAAAATTATTATGAGTTGTGTATTTGGATTAACAACTTCTCTACAATGGTAACTAACTAAATTTAAGTTAAATTTTAAATGTGATAAAAATTTTATACAAAATAAAATATTTTTATTTTTATATAAAATTTTATATAATAAAATATAAAATTTTATATAAAAATTTTAACGGCTAATCTTAAATGTATTTTATTAGTAAAGAGTAGCGGAGTCTTTTTGGCTGACTTCGTTGTAGTTTGATTTGATTAAAAAATTTATTCAAATCAAACTACAACGAATTCATCTTTATTATTATACATCTGCTTCAATTGCCTTTTCAATATTTTTATTGTAAATTCAAATTAGTTGAGAGCAAATAAGCAATAGCTAATGAGATAAAAATATGTGATATATGTGTATTATATTTTTGAAATTAAATTTAAAAGTTCAATTAATTTCATTAAATATTTAATACGGGCTACAAAGCAAAGCCTGGGTGTAAGTAAATCCACAATCCCATATCATCTCCTGGCATAAGAGGCGACAGATGAAAATGAATCAGGAGATAGGCAGCAACATCTTCTTAATGAGGACTCCAATTAAAGAAAATGCGGTTGCCAAGTTGCCTGCCAAGCATGGCAACTTTGGCATTTCCTTTACGAGGCAATCTATGGGGAATTCGCTTGTTTAGCAGTGGATTTTAATAGGCTGTAATGAATAAATAATGTAAAATTCTACGTTTTTAACTTTTTGTACAATGTAATAAACAGTAAAAATGAAGTTTGCGTAAATTCGGCATCTTCGGATATCAACAACTGATTAGAGGAATACTTAAGTTATTCCTCGCCCGCAGCGATCAACATACATTTGAGATATTTTTGTTGCCGTTAATAGCATCCCTAATGCGCTTATTAAACCGTCCGTCTCATTTTATTTACAAAAAACAAAATAATTACACAGTAATATTTAGACTTTAATGGCCTCCGTGATATATTTATTGCTTTAATGTGTGCTATTGTACCTACGACCTGAGCACGAGCGACATTATATATTAGTATGTACATTTTTTCGATGAATATTCATGAGTGATAGAGGCATTGCTATACATTACAAGATCCATAAGTCAAGAAAACGCCACGCTGGTACGAAGTGGCGCCACAATCGCTGGTACCACTCTCTGTTTATCATTTTGGTTCCCTTATGCTAGCGACATGTCGACGCAGTGAGACTTCATATTTTTATGACGCTTTTATGCCTTTATACTGTCTTCACGTAATTTCAACTGTCATAACTATAAAATTATTGTTTTAGCGGTCTGTTTCTTACAAACAAACATTACACCGTCTAAATAGGTGTATTGTATGCTTTTTGTAGTTGCTTACGAGAATACTGTAAATGCAATAAAACAGTTAAATAATTTTTATATTTACATTTAGATTTAGATGTGAAGAATCGACGCTCCGGGAAGTCTGCAGTCTGTGAACACGTACAGGATCGCCCCCGTCACTACATCAGATTTGATAGACCGCAGATCCTCGCTAAAGAACACCGATTCCTTCCAAGGATGATTCGCGAGGCTATTGAAATCAAAAAACATCCTAATTTCAATAGAGAAGATGGCTGGGTGCTATCATCTGCTTGGGATCCTATAATAAATAAAATTAAATCCCAACCCAAGCATACAACTGCAAGACTTCAAGATACCATAAATTCTTACTGCATAGATCGGAACAAAAGTTAAATTTTAATCTATGGTAACCGCGGTTAACTATGACAGCTGGACGTTGAACATCTCAGTCCTGCCCGTGACCATGAGTGCTGTAAAGCGTTCGAAACGTCGGGTATTTAAAAAGTTAAAATATACGCGATAAATTCCGTAAAAACTAGTATTATTTCGACCCAATTATAGTTCTGAACTCCGACACATTGTTTTAGATTGTTAAAGTAAAAATTTAATAAATTAGTTTTTATTTTCATAAAGTTAATACTTGAAGTCAGACGATAAAATTGTACTTAAAGTTTTACGCCTAAGCCTGAGACTATAATTTTATATTGATTACCTACTGATAAATAAAATTATAAGTTTATAGGTGGTCCTACCTTCATAAATAAATCATGGAAGACTGAATGGAACTTTGTCATGTCGTTGTCGTTCTTACGAACGATGGCTATGGTAAATGCTAAATATTTTTCTTATAGAATACGGGTGACAAACGAGCGCACAGTCCACCTGATGTTAAATGGATGCTGTGGCCCATAGACTCTCACATTTATCCTCCATTAGGAATCAAAATGCAGATACGTTGCCACTCCTGTGGACTGAGATGGAATATCTCGTTTCCAGTGAAAAGGGTCTCCGGTTCTCTACACTAACCATACGAAACACAGCAGCTATTTTACGCTGGTATTCTGTGAGACGGCGGTATAGTCGTCTCGTTTATACAGACGTGAAACACCCAAGTCAAAGTCTCACGTCTGTTGTTGCGACCGCCAATCCATCTGTCAAGCGTGACTATTGAGGCAAATCCTCTCCACAACTGATGCCCACGTCCAGCTGTGAGCTTTTAAGGGCTGACGATGAAGAAGAAGACTGAACACTAAACAATAAAATACAGTTAGGTTTTAGTTTTCTGTACCAAATTATGCTTAACTAAATTTTTGTGAAATTAATGCAGATTATTCAATTCATATGATTTCAATGTAATAATTTAATTTAATAGATATACAATTCTGTTATGCAAGTATTGAAGTGAGATTTCAAATTCAAATATTTGATTTAAGAGGTAAAATTGTTAAAAGGCTTTTACTTTTAATATTATATATATAATATTATATCTCAATTTTTTTTACAAACATTGGTGGTCTTAAGTTAATTATGTTACTAAGTGTTTGCCGAAGCGCCACAGTAAATGAACAATGTACGATGAAACGTTCCGGTAGCGCACGTGGCCGCGGTCGCCCACAAGCGGCACGCGCCCTACGCCCACGGACTAATTAGTTGCTCTAACAGATTTTTCTTGTACTCCGAGAAATCCTCCTATTTAAAAAATATACAATCTTGATGTATATTTATATTAATTTTAGGTACCACAAAGTGTTTTGAAGGTATTAAAAAAAATTCATGCTTTTTTATGAATCATATCTTATAGGTCTTTATTAGCTATCGAAGTGCAGAACATCTTGTTTTATTTTCATATCAATAGAGATAGATAGCACCACATATCGATACGTCCTAGCGTTACACTAGTGATTTCCGGATCTCAACTCAACAGCGTCACCTACCGGGTCCAATTGTGAAACTAAACCATTGTCGAATCAACTTAATCACAGACCGACAGAAAAATATACTCGTATGTATATATATATATATATATATATATATATATATATATATATATATATATATATATATATATATGTATCTATTAAACTGACTGACTGCCCACCGTGGGCCAAAAAAAACAATTATTGAGTTTTTC